ACTATGAGAGACCCGTAGACAAGAGACTTCCAACAATGAGTCATCATTAAGTTTCCACAGAGAACTATTAGGTAGTTCTCGCTCTCCCCTCCTCTTACTCTTGCCCTCTTTCCCATACCAATTTCATTCTCTCTCCCTATCCTGCCTCCTTTATTTTCTTCTCTTCTTCCTCTCCTCCTTTCTTTTATTTTCTTTTCTCCTCCTTTCTCTCTGATTCTCCCAAAACACAATGTCCCTAAAGTATCAGCTGTATTCAGCAAGTTAGCATTTCAGTGGTTTAGGATTAGGTCGTGGCTTAGGAACACCTCTTTCCCCTATAATATTTCCTTTTAATATTTGTTTGCTTTTTAATTAAAAAGTCAATGTAACAATATTCTAAAAGAAACATTTTAAAGCAAGAACAATTATTTTTAACACATGTCTACATATTGACTTCCAAGCCTTGCCCCAAATGCATGAATCTTAACCAAGCACAAAGATTAACCAAATTAAATGGATTATATGCTTAAACATAAAACTTGCAGAAGAAAAAGACAGGAGAAAATCCATATGATACAATATAAACAAAAAAAGTAATTAATTGGGCCTCATTAAAAAAAAATTTCTTGACTAATGATATGCTAAAGACTGGAAGAAGACATTTATAAGTCATATATCCAACAAAGGACTTGTATCAAGAAAATACAAAGAGCCCTCAAAGCTTGAGAATAAGAAACAATTAGATTAAAAACAGTCAAATTATTTGGTCAGCCACTTCACCAAAGAAGATATGTAGACGGAATACAAGCACATGAAAAGATGTTCTGCATCATTAATTATTAGGAAAATATATTAAAACCACAATGCACGACTGACCATATCAGGATGGCGGGGTTGTGAAGAAAACAAAATTCTCAATGCTGCAGTTGGAATATAAAACAATACAGCTGCTTTGGAAAGCATTTTGACAGCTTCTTAAAGAGTTAAACATAAAAACATATGATTTACCATTTCACTCTTAGGTATTTACTCAAAATGCAAGCGTGTATGCCTATACACATACTTGTCCATAAATGTTTACAGGGGCTTTATTTGTAATTGAGATTGAGAGGAATGAGAGAAGCAGGCAAGAAAGAGTGGGGGGGGGGCGGAAAGGAGAGAGGGTAGAGAGAGTGAGAACGACCTAATAGGTCTCTGTGGAAACTTAGTGATGGCTCATTGTCGGAAGACTCTTGTTCACGGGTCTCTCATATTGATGAATATCTTGTGAGGTCTTTGTCCTGAACTGTCTTTTCAAGGATGTTTGTACAGAAAACAGCTTTGGGAACAGAGATAGTATCTCCCTTCAGAGGAGAGGACATTTTTTACACATAGAAGATCTGTTTGTTTTCTTACAAATGGAAGGTGTGTGGTAAGCCCGAGTCAAACAAGTCTACCAGGGACATTTTTCCAATAGCATGTGCTCACTTCATGTACCTGTGCCGCATTTTGGCCACATTCTCACAATATTTCAAACTTTTTCATAATGCTGTTGTACACTTAACAGACTACAGTATAATGTAAACATAGTCTTATATGCACTGTTTTTGTTGTATACCTTTGAGTCAGTTCTGATGCATAGCAACCACATAGGGTTTCTGAGAACAGCTGGTGGATTTTTTTTTTTAAATAGAGTGGGTTTGCCAACTCCAGCCTCTTGGAATTATTATTATTATTTTTAAACTGAAGGTAATGCAGGAACAGTTGTGGGGG